CCCCCCCCCCGCCAAATATAGAGATATCTACTGAATGTGCAAAGGCGAACTAGACTTAGATCAAGATGTGGAAAGTTTCATTCTTTTTTTATATTTTCTCCCTTCCAAAAAAACTTTTCAGTGTGCCGTAATAAGAGGCTCGACTCTCGCCATAGACCAGATGAGGCTAGACAGGGGAGGTAACGGTGGTGTAATCATCAACGTGGCTTCTGACGCAGGTTTGTCATTGTATTTATTTTCCATTTTTTGAAATAACTTTTGATTACAGTTAGTCGTTGTCAGTAAGTCAATCAATTGATGAATCGATTTATCCACTAACCAGCCAACTTCATCCATCCATCCATCTATCTATTCAGTCACGTTCCTTTTATCCATTCGTACCTCAACCAACCAGCCAACCGACCAACTTATAAATCAAGAAACGAATGAATCTGCCAATAAAGCCATCACTTATTGCTTCTCTGTATCTATATCGGTTGATAATTATAATCGAACGTTCGACCAAGACAGACAGTAATCAATAAATGCATCCGCATCTACAGGATTGCATCCCTCACCAGTGTTACCAGTCTACTCCGCGACCAAGTTTGGTGTGGTGGGCTACTCCAGAGCCCTGGCGGTGAGTATTTTAGAGCACTTGTTGTGAGTACTTTTCTTATGGTCTTAATCTGGAAACTAAGCTGGGCTGTACATGAGCTTGCTACAAAAACAATGTAAATCCAACGCCCGTGCAAGTACGGCAGTGGGTGATTGGTGGGTGCTCTGGTGTGATTTGCTCCTTCTTTTCTATGAAACGTCTATCGTCATTATCCTTCCTCCTTTTATTACTCTTTTGGGACACCTCTAATCTTTGGCACGTATATGACCATATTGTGGTGCAAATACCATGAAACCCTATTTATAACTAAAACTAAAACCAGTAAGGCAGACCGGAGTCTCTGGTGTAGCGGTTAGGCGCTTTGCTGTCGCTCACAGAAGGCGTGGATTCGATTCCCGTGTGGGGAGGACTTTTATCGAGTATCTTCATCAGTCCGCAGGGGTGCTGCATCCCTCTCAGCTCGGGTTGGCCTGGCCCTGACAGTAGTGACAGGCAGGGTTGAAGCTCTCATCTTAAAATTAAATTATCTAAATTTGTATCTATACGGACGTAAAACTGCCTGTTACTTTATGGATTCGAATCAGGATCATCCCCACTTAGAACCTTCTATTTTTCAGACAATGTAACGCAGGTCTCAAGAAAACTACCTAGCGTCGTCTCAGCACTATTAATTGTGTCCAAAGTAAGGTACAAAATAGCCCCGAGGCGACGAGAGTTTATGTGTAGTCAAGGACCTTTAATTACAACTACTACTATAACATAACCTTCTTGTGTTTAGTACAGTTTAGTGTTACATAATCTACACAGCGGTCCCCAATGTTGAACAGACAGGGAGTACGCGTGAACACCGTGTGTCCAGCAATGATAAAGACTCCAAAGACCAAGACGAAGTTCACCCCTGACCAACTTTCCCCGACAGCCAGCGTGGAGGATGTGATGGCAGAGTGGAAGATGACCAGACTGAGGAACGGAGTGATGACGTATGTCGACGCATGATACCGTGACTAGTTGTTGTATCTGTCTATCTATCTATCTATCTATCTATCTATCTATCTATCTATCTATCTATCTATCT